CCAAAGCATTTGAAAAGTAGCTTTGTATACCAATTTCCAGACAAAATGTAAGTATAATTTGATTTCTTGCTGAGCATATTGCTTTAATTTTTGTAATACTTGTGTTGTTTTGTATTTTTTTATATTATGTATGAGAAAGTTGCATGTTGTTGAAGTGCCCACTTCCTTTTAAACACTGGCACCATTAAATTAGAGCTATGTTAACAGTCACCATTCAAGAAAAAACCTAAACAAACGAAAAGTTGTCATTGTAGTAGGGCAAAATCTTGCTTTGGAAAATGAGGTAAATAAAAATACAGCTATAGCAATATAAACCTAAAAAGGTTTTCATAAAGCACATAAAGTTCCATTGCACCAATTCCTTTAGGAAAAAAGTTTTGCAAATATATATCCAAAGCAAGTGTTTAACTAAAGTTTTATATCATTTGAGTTTAGGAGCTAGTGTGTCATTTGATTCTTATTTTCCGGGTAACACGATAATACTCACTTAAAAACAGCAATTATGGGGCAACAATTGCATATATGTATATATGTGTAACTACACCTTCAAGTGAGTCACTGAAGATACATTTATGCTGATAAAATTACTCAAAGGGCAACTATACACATTCTGCATGAACTGCTGGAGAATGGCATTATCAATTAGACTTCAAAAAAAATCTTTTACAGAGCAGTTTCATTTCTGAAAATGGAAATTCGTTAAAAATTATAATAAGAATTAAAGAAGCTTGAATCAAATCCAGCCTTCAGATTATTCCCCTAAGAAAAAATGTACCGTTTATTTTCTAAGGATCTGACCTGACATGGAAAAGTTATTTAGGAATGTTTTACTGATGAAACAAAGAGGACCAGACATTGTAGCAAAGAATTAGATATAATTATATCACAAAAAGACAGACTTGAAACTTCAAAATAACTTGGAAGAAGGATTAAGTGTGTAAGCAAGTACTAGGACAGACATAATGTGATTCAAAAACTAAGCAATTAGCTAAATTTTCAAATTCATTAGAGGCTTATTAAACTGTGAGGAGAAGTTGTTATTCACTTGACTGTAAGTATTTAACCCTCAGGTTTTTATCCAGAAACAGGTACCAGTGATGTGAAATAAACAGAGCAAAATTCACAAAGCTCAGAGATCCTCAAGTATGTTAATGCCCTCTTGGGAACCTGAATGGAGGAAAACAGAAGAAGTTTAGATCACAAAAGAAACCAAAAGACAACTCAGAATTGTATGGTTAAGAGGCAAACAAAAGTTGCTGTACTTCCACATTTGTATTTGCAGTCTGTTTATGAAGTTTGGATTTAGGGCTTTCAAGTTAAATGTTTGCATTTTTATACAGAAAAAGAAAGAATTCTCTCTCTTGATAAATCTATGGTATCTTAAATCTTTATCCTTCCTCTTAGGTCTGGGTTTTTAAATTTAAAACCCTCAAAATATTACAATCAGTTGTAGTGCTGGAAGAAGGCACTTTGATTGCAGAAGTCTATTCACACCTTCTTAACCAGCTGAGATCAGGTAGCCAAGCCACATTCTTAACTCTACAAGAAAGCAAGAGACAGAATCTTAAGAAATTGTTCTTTAGCATTTTTAAATGGTTAACCATGCAGTAAATTAGATTAACCCTAACCTGGAACAGTCCTGCAGCAATGACAAATGGATAGGATAATAGCAATAATGTTATGATAGCATCTATTTTTTGGAGTATGTCTCAGGTATTTAGGTACCAACAACCTACTGTGGTACACAGTCCAAAGGTTATTTCTGCTACTAGATTTGAAAAGGAAATGAATTTTCCCCCATCATAAAAGGAATTGCTTTTTCATTGAAAGACTAAACATTTTCAGAATCCCTTTTCAATGAAAACCCAAATATTTTCACCACATACAATTTCCACGCAAATATTTTCAAATTTAAGTTAAACCTGTTTCTTCATAAAACCAGCTCAAGCTATTATATTTATACGATAGCTTAAAAGGTATTATTTTGGCCTAATATTTCACATCAAGAAAGCATCTGAAAGATGGCTTTGTTGAAATTTCTGTACCACAGCCTTCTAATCAGAAGAGAAATTCCTAAATGTTGGCTTGGGCCAATCCACCTTTTAGAAGAAACAGTCCAATAGATCTCTAGCCCTTATATGCAAAACTGCTGAGAAATTTTACTTAATTCCAGTTGTGTGGATCCCCTGCCTTCAGCTTGTGTTCATACAACATCTTTACAGTAATGGCAGCAATTACTTTCATGTAAAATAATACTATTATTACTATATGAGATGAATTTGTATCTTCTCATTTGCTAAATGAGTTTTGGTAATTAAAACCAAAGGTCAGTATCATATGACAACACAGGAGCAGAGCAATAGGAAGAGTTATGCAGACCAGTGGAAAAGGCTTGGGGACTTCAGCACTGCTATTTTGAATATGTCTGTTCTAGCACCAACATTTGTAATGATGCAAATCTTTCTTTTAAAACATCTTTCTGTACTAGCATATACTCTCCTTTAGAAGCTCTGCTCTTATGATTGGTCTTAGAAGCCAAACTTCCCTTTCATAGTAGTTTTTGACCTTGAAAAAGATAGGATGACTTCCATTAATAAAAGACTAAGCATGGAGACTTTCTTTAATTTGACAGCAAATATAAAATAGCTTAAAAAGAATCTATAAATCTCTTCTGAAAACTCTGTAATCATGCAGATCTTTATTTAAACTGAATAACTATTCAAGCCTGACTCTTGGGATGGTTTTGAGCTCCAGATTTAGACATTTAGCTATCTACATATGTGTTAGATGTCAAAACTCCTATTAAATTCAATGGAAATCTAGTAGACATAACCAACAGACCCTACAGAGCTCACTCAGCAGCAGATATCCTGCCCCCACCCCATGGGCTGGGCACCTCAGCGGCCTTGGAAGTTCCACTGGCCCAATCTACATGGCCTTGAAAAAGAACAATGTACCCAGCATAGTCCAGACCCCTAAATATGGGGGCAGGAAGGGGCTATCTCAAACTCGTGCTTAATATCTAGCTACTCCTTTTATGCCAAAGAAAAGCCCAAGTCCTTCCCCAGAGAACGAATTAGAATGTTTTAGTATTAAAATCAAATGTCCAATTTCTTAAAATGTTAAATACTTCTCTCACATTGCTTTATTAACATACCCACTATTTTCACCAGCAAAACAAGGAAAAAAATTAGGATTATGCTGTGATTTCCTGGACAAGTAAAGAGGCTGTGCAACTTGGCATGTTAGTCATAAAAACTGACCCTTTTTGCAAGATAATTATAAAAAAATGTTTTTATTGTCATGAATTATAGATCCAAGTCTTTCCTGTTGACTACATCATTGAATTCCATTGTAGGACCTTCTCACCCATAAATCTTGTTACACAGTAAATTTGAAAACTTACAAGTAATTCTCAAGTGTTCAAATGAAAACATGTACTCCGAATGCATGTGTAGTAATACATAATAAAGAAATTCAGAGCACAGCTTTTCAGAATCAAAATTGTAGGCACTGGTCCAATAGCAGAAGTTATTTTAGCTCTAGTTTTCTTTTTAAATCATCAACACCAATGAAGAACCCATACCAATGGGCTTCTTAGAAATCATATTTTAAATACTTTATGGAAGACACTGTTTCCTCTCTAGGGTTTAAGCATCACCTACCACGATCAACTTGATCCTGTGGCATTTAACTCATAAATAAGAAAAAAAAATAGATTTTTTTATTTAGGTAAAAAAAGTAAAGTTCTGACCATTCTGAGAGACACCATTCCTGTTCATCAGTCCTCAGTGAAAGTCACAGACTTTGGACCTACAGATACCTATGCTGAATTGCTAAAACAGATCACCTCTGAAGAAGGACCATGCCTGAACTGCCTGGCATGAAGCAGGAGAGATTAAATGCTAGACGCAAGAATAGGATATGAAGGCCCTATATGCAAAGCTTCCATCCATACAATGGACTTTCTTTAGGGAAAGCAGACAATTGATATATATGTTCACAGGAGGAAATTTATCTACATAAAGAAAGGAAAGACATAAAGTGAATCTCTGAGACAAAATGCACATTTGGCTACTTGTTATCACTTATGTTGAAGCCAAAAGCAAGATTAAAAGATGCACAGTTTATATTTTGGTTCTTTATTGCTATGATTTTCTATTTGTTTTGTATAATATACATTTTTGTGCTGTTGTGTCTGTGTGACCATCTTGCTTACATCAATATTTTCTTTTGAATAAATGTACTTCTATTTATCTCTGAAGTAGTTAACTGTACAGGCTACTCTTTCCTGCATGCTTTAGTACTGATAACTTGGATAGACATTAGGTCAATAAAACTGGTAGGTTTCATATGCTATATGTATCCTTAATATCCAAAGGAATATTCAAAGCAAAAGCTTGTTCTATCCTGCAAGACTATTATCGACAACCACCCACAATGTGGGTTGAAATATCTGTTCACAAAATTAAATTTATTCATTTTGTATGAAGGACCATTTTGTCCTTGGACTAGATCTTAGCACCACAAAAGCATTTAGCCACCCCATTTCATGTAATGATATTAAATAATACACATAGCTTCACTTCAATGGTTTATGGTTTTAACTTCAGCTCAGATTCAAATGAAACTCAGCAGCACAAAAAACAGGTTTATTTTAGTCTGAAAGAAAATGAGCCAATCAAAATACAAATTTAAGCCAAATTCTAAGTTCTACTAAGTACACGATGCCTTTGTATTTAACATTGCTTGTTTTACAAAAAAACCCGAAAGCTTTATTTGCTAGTATCCAATAAAACCAAGAATCTTAGCTTCTGTTACCTTGTTATTTTGCTCTAGAAGCCATTTTTTAGCAAAGTGATTCCTTCGGAGACAGCTGGTATCATTATAATGATCCAAAAGTAGGCACTATTACAGACGTGATATTATTTTAATAAAGAAAAATATTTAAAATTTGTAATGAGCATACCCAGAGTTTTCTTTCAGTACTCCAGAACATCCTAAATAGAAGGCTTACTTCTTTTGGCTTTCTTTAACTTCAAATAACCTTCTTCTTTCTGTTAACAAAAACCAACCAACCAACCAAAAAAAAAAAGGCAAAAAACAGTAAAGCAAACAAAGCAGTAATACTAAGCTAACAACTCAACTAAAAAGTTGTTTCTGAGTGAAATGTTTAGTTGAATGATATGAGAAGTAATTAATAAAAGTTTCTATTTTGCAACATAAATATAATTTAAAGTATGTTTATATGTACAGTGGGTAGATAACTAAAACCAGAGCTATTTTGAAAATAGCCTTTTACATGCTGGCAGCCAAGACTTTCAAAACCAACTCATCACTTTTGGTGTCCAAACTTGAGATAATGACAAAGGCTTACTCTTCAGAGAAGTATTTAGCAGTGTCCCCAGTCAGCACCATTGTATTTTAATCTGGAGAGAGGAGGAATCAGACTAATGAGCATTGGAGAGTCCATCCCTACCCCAGTTAATAGACAAGTCCCTCTCCTATTCCTGAGACTCCAGCTGAAGCTTCCCTAGAGCTGTGCATCCACCTGGCTTGGCTCCAGCAGTGGCAATGCTGAAGGGGCAGTGCGGCAGGCAAGTGAGAACTTGCTGTCTCCTGCCACTTCCCAAAAGTAGTTTGCAGGGCTCAGCCTGCCTGGGGAGAGAGGAATGGCCTGGGACACTTGTGACTCATGACTAGGACAGGACAGGACAGCAAGACCAGCTACAAGCTCTCTGCTGGTCTAGCCTGCCCAAGCTGTAGAGCTAGCTCCATGCTCACAAGCCCTAGTGTGGCTGAGTCATTCCCCATGGTGGGGAAAGGACTTCAGCACTTAATTCGTATCATGGTGGAAGTCTCCCTTCAGTACTCAGACCCTTGGGGTTGTTATTCTTATAACCACAGTTATTTTTAGTTGCTGTTTTTCTCGTTTTCTTTGTAAGACTAACTCCTGACTCTACTGCTGTAGCATTGCAGTGCTGGGCCTGGAACTAGTGACTCAGTTGTGGCCCTGTGGAAGGGCCTTTCCCAGCTGCAGTTGGATGAGGCCAGCTCAGAGCAGCTGGGCTGGCGTTTCCTACACCAACTCCTCTCTTCCCTGCTGCAGCTTGAGCTCTGGGGTATGAGTGCGTTCCTGCTGCAGGCCCCTGAGGCTGCTCTACTGGCCCTTTCTGACCTGCATGGATAGCACAAACTGTGCTCTTTTAATTACCATTAAAAGTTACAGAATTGTCTTGTATTTGGCTTTAAAAGCATTAAAAAAAAAAAAGACAGATAAAATCTAATGTTAACAAATGCAAATTAAGTGGAAGAATCTGAATTATGGATACATACGCTTAAGTTCTTAATCAACAGTTAATAACTATGTTGACAAGGTAAGTTTATATATTGCAACATCTAATTAGGCAAAGGCACTTCAGATCAAGCATGGGTAATGAGACCTCAGATGGTCATGCTTGAAATGAAATATAAAAGGCAAGGGAACCTGGGTGAAAAGGGACTTAAGTGTGTGCAACTTTTCCACCTGGCTTATTCTGTCGAATTATTGCACAGTATTTTCAGTTGGCTATGAGCAGAAATAATACATATCTAAGTGAGAAAATACAATTGTACTGAGCATTGGAGACCTGGGACCTGTTCCTTCTAATGGGCCTAATTTCTGGGTAGTAAAAACGTATAGAACGTGGTTGTAAGGAGAAGGAGATGGAAGATACAACTGAGTTTTAAAGAACTGATAATTAGAAACAGAAGTGTAGCCCAGTGGTAGGTAAAAGCAATATTTAAGAATCATGAAAAAATATTTTGAAGAGGGATTTAAAAGTACACACTACTATCATTAGAGCAGTGTCCAGAGGAAAAAGTATTAAAAAAAAATAATTCATATTAGGAACTTACTAATTGCTGCTGCTGCCCCCATCTAGTAATACCGTAACAACTTAAATATATTAAGTTAATAACTAAGATAATATAACTTTTAAATCTCAGAATTAATTACAAATAACCTTTTGGAACTCTACAGAGCGTTGCTGAATTCAAGCACTTAAGACGAGATACTTACAGAGCCATTGAGAATGCCCATAGTTATATTGGGCAGGATAAAACTGTTTTCTGTAGAATCAGAAAATCTGCTTCAGAAACATATTTACATTGAGTAACATCATTAAATTTTTTCATTTTAGTAGTATCTTTTGCAGAAGACAAACATTTTAAATGCACCCTTGAAGTACAGTAACATAACCAATGGTTAAGGCTAATTTTATCCTGGCTAAGGTTAATTTTATCCAGAGCAGGCTCAATAAGATCTCTTGGTTTCCCCATTTTAACTGGAACATGCTAAAATGAAAAAAATTAAAAATTCCTTTTTATCTCTTAATTCAGGTCCTTGTAGACTGGATTAAGGGGTCTATGTGTGTGCGTCTTTTACCTGTCTTCTTCTGGCACAACCTTTCTTTACAGATGCTTCCATGTTGCTCTCCTTGACTGAGGAAGTCGGTTTTGAGGTCAGTGTTTCACATGTCAGATCCTCATTCCCTGTAATCATCTTAAAGTATAGAAGTTTATACCTTCATTAGCAAAAAAACACCAGTATTTTTCTACTTGTTAAAATGACCTACTTTTTCAAAAGGTGCCCTCATAATACAAAGTTGAAATAAACTACCAAATTACATTTTATAGGTGAAAAAAGTGATAAGCACAACATATTTCATCCATGTGCCCAGTCTGTGGGATATCATCCTCATAAAAATTGCACTGAAATCAGCTCAGCTATTTATCTTATTGAAATGCAGACAGAAGCATAGAAATTTAGATTGTAAATTACCTCCAGCAGTCATTTAATCATAACTTTTACTCAAAACAGAGCTAAATTCAAAGTTAGATCACATTGCTTCAGGCCCCATCCAGTCAAGTTTTGAGAATCTGAAAGGATAACAACTCTACAACCTCTTTGTGCAACTTGTTCCAGTACTTAACCATTCTCACTCTAAAGAATTTTTTTCTTTATGCCCACTAGGAATTTTTCCTGTTGCAACTTGTGCTTTTAGTGAAATTGTAATTAAACCTGTATTTTCAAAACTTCCATGTTTGTCTAACAACACAATGCCTTACACACACTGCAGTCAGCACTACACAATTGCTAAGGTTAGAGATTCCTTTCAGGAGCTGTTCATGAATATGTTTTCATATGAAGACAGACTGAACACCAAAAATTTCACCATGTTAACCTCACACAAATCTTGATAAACTGTCTTAAAGAAAGGAAAACTAATTATCCCACCTTAAAAGTCCCAAATAAAAAAAGTGTGTATCTCAGACAACACAGTAAATCATCTTCCCTTTCAGAAAAAAAGCAGCAGAAGGAAGAAAACATTAACTTATATGGTAGAAATTTTAAAAAACTCTATTGAGAATGATGGTAGAACATGATGAAAGTCATGCTCTTTATTGCCTAACATTGTTTTAGAACATACTGAATTTGTGAGAACCAGTGAGAATGAGCCCTGTTATTTACCTTACCTGTTCAAAGTTAGACTTGGAATGATGACTGGTTGTCTTAGCAATATAGACCTTAGAGTGGCAGGCTGCTTTATTTTCTTCATTTTTGGAGATGCACACTGTATCATTTAAGACAGATTCATGAATATTTAACTCTACTCCTTCATTTGATCTCTTTCTTTGTTGCTGTGATAAACTGGAATTTGTCATTTCATTGTCTAATTTACAAATCTGCAAATGTACTTTCTTTGACTGGTGTTGTTTCTCAAGAACTTGCGTGGTATTTTGACTTGCAAACTTTTTTCCCCTTCTTGCACTGGAAGTAGGAGATGGATATGTATTCAGATTCAGATTGATGTTCGATTTCTGAAGCACTGACCCAACATTCTTAAGAAAAGAAGGAGGGTTTGCCTTTTCGTGGTTGACTTCACTTGAATTCCCACCCAAAGCCAAGTTATCAGAAAAATCAGAATTAGTCATTTGTCCACCAGACTCTGTTTTCCACCGAAATACAGGTATACCATGTTTCGTATATGTTTTCGCATTCATTACCTGAAGTACGCTGCTATGAGTAGGATTTTTGACTGACATATTTTGAACAGGTTTGTAAACCTGAGTTATGCTAGACTTGCACACACTTAGCATAGAAGATGAAACACCCATAATTTTTATTGGTGAATGTCTTTCAGCATGTTCTCTTTTCTTCCCATTCATTTGATTTGTGGGCTTTCCATTCATTTGCATCAACTTTCCTTTGAAAATTGGTATAATTTTGCTGACTTTTTTGGAGGGTAGTTCAAAGGCTGAATTTATAGACACTCCTAAAGATTTCACAACTGGTAACTCTGGTACTTCTGGTATTTGCCTCTTATTCACTGATTTCTCTGTTGCTCCAATGCTAACCTTTTCTGTATCCTTACGGCTACTCGGAAAAGCGTGTGTTTCTGGCTCTTTGAACAAACGCTCCATCCAGTGGCTGTTTTCCATACTGCATGGTGAAGAAATTCTAGGCAAAGTCTGTTTCCTTGGAGGAGCCTGCGTTAGAGATACTACACAAACCATCTCACCAGCCAATTTCATATGCTTAGATTTTATTTCCTGCAATACAACAAGAGTTGCTAAATTGAATGAACTGAATTTAAAAGTCTGATAGTGCCACCTAATGCATCACTATATCATACCAACCAATATACATCACAATATATAACCATACATTTTCCTATTTTGAATTAAAATTAACTATATTTTTAAACAATATTTTGTTGCCACTATAAATGAAGATTTGTCTTCTCCTCCCCCCAGTTCTTTGTTTATAAACTATGCTGGAATATCATATTTCTCAGAAGGAAAGACTTAAGTTACAGTCATTATCTTGGTTTAGTGCTTTCCAACTGGGTAATGCCTACCCCTTTTGAGGGGGTCTGCAGAGAGTTTGACTGACAGGGCTCCTCGTCTCTTAAGACTTCTAAAGGCATCCGTAATCTGAGCAAAAGACAGTTTGGATGTCTATAAAAACTGCAGATGACAAAGAGGAGCCATTCTAGCTTTGATCACTGAAGAGACATAAACAGGAACTGCTTTCTGAAAGAGGATTATAGTATTTTAGAATCTCTGCAATTTCTGTCACTATTCTTTGTTCAGAATTAATTACTTCATTTCTTCTTTCACACGCTACTACCAAAGAAATTTGAGTCTCAGCCTTTGTCGCAACTTCAAATTAAAGGAGTTTTGATTGCTTGCCTCTTTTCCATCACCAGCCATGGAGTAAATCTTACAGCTTGAGTGTTTTTAAATGTGTAAGTCCACAGAACTTTGTGGTTTTTTTGTTTTGTTTTGTTTTTTAATTTAATAATAATAATTTTATTGTTGTTATTGTGGAAAAGGTGTGAGAAAGTTCTGGATATCCACTGTAAAATAAGGTCTATAGAATTGCAAATATTTATATCAACTAATTAACACTAAGTCCAATTTTTTAATGTATTTGTGATGTGAACAACAACATAACAATGGCAAATAGCAATATCATATTTAATTACACTTTTAATTAAAAGTTACATAGTTGATAGTTGTTTGTTGTGAAAAGCATAGTTATATGCTCTCACTGTGTTCTTAATATGATAAAGACCACTTCATACCGTGAACAAAGTACATGCCATTAATATGTTTATAAAAAAAAGGTACACGCACCGGAGCCCTGAAGAGTTCCTGTGTAGCATAAAGTGCTTTACTTGTCATCTTTACTGGAAATCCACATATATGTGAAAGATTACGCTTCATGTCAGAAAGAAAAGAATTCAATACATTTTCTGAACCTGTTCTAGGGAAATACTGCACTGGCTGACTTCGGATGCAACTTAAAGGGTACCTGAGTAAGTGTTCAGGAATACATAACAAGCTTCTTTACATGTCTATAATTATGATTCATATTCGTTGAGAAGAAAGCATGAACATGTCTAAAGCTTTTTCAAAAAGGTGAACAAAAGCACTTATTTTCTGAAGGGACTGAAGCTTATAAAGTTACAGGATTTCAACATGATTATACCATACTAAACTACCACAGTAAAGATTACTCAATATAAGTAATCCTTAGCCTAGTCTTTCCTAGCAGGAAAACTCTCTTTAAAACAAGTCTTTGTTGGCCATATTCTTACAGGAATTTAACTCCTCCTTTTACATCACCATTTAGAGTGGCATTATCATGTTTACAGAAGCTGTGAAGCTGTTCTATTTGACTTACTATTATTCAATACTAGGACAAAGAGACTTGACTAAATATTTTGTTCCAATTTGTCTAGTGAAACAATTCTCTACTGACTTCTACAAAATTATGGAAGAAGAAAATGTGGCACATTCAAAAATGAAAATTTAGACCTTTGCTAGAAGTGTAGTAAAGGAAACGTAACAAAAATATTCTGAAAGGATACGTAAAGAATCTTTCCCCTATTGGTTTGAAGTAAACACTGAAGTATATTTTTGTCTCTTCAAGATCCTCTGGAAGAATATATCCATACTTAAAAAAACCCACAAACTTGTATTACAAATACAAACTCCATAGGTAAAAAAAGGGAGGGAAAAACGAAAGCAGTGTATATTGTTTCTTACCAGATTCTTCCAGTGTATCTGAAATTCTTTATATGAATGGAAAGGAGATTCTGGAGGAATTATGTGGCTGATGTTTATGATCTGACCCATTTTCATGCTATGCATAGGTAAAGAAGGGATGCTTAGAAAGGGTGTCATAAAACTCAGCTGAAAATATATTTGACTTTTTGGGGAAAAAAAAGCAAATAATTTTTGGCATTGAAAGTATTTATGGATTATTTTTATGTTTTGAGGACTAGTACCTTTAGCTCATAAGTTTATGACAGAACAATAGCACTATTTCCTGAAGTATGGAAAAGAATTTGGCACCTACAAGTCTAATTTTCTCTTGTCTGTAATACTCACTACGAGTGAATGTAGAGCAAAAGCAAATATATCATTACGTCTCATATTTTTATGGTTAACATCATAGGTGAAAATAGGGGTAGTTTGCGGCAAAGCTGGAAATATGTTTTTTCTTTATATTGACACTTTCTGCTAAAATAATATTTCAGAAAAATTAATTCTCTTGTATATCACAGATGTAGCAATTACTAAAATTGAAATAATATTTAAATGTGTAATTTATGATTCACTGATTAATTTTTCTCATTTTCTGTAACATTGAGACCATAAAACTAAAAAAGAAAGATTCCTGAATGTAAAACAGACTGTAAAACAAAAGTGTTCTTATCACTAGTATCAAATTCACAATTCATATGGGAAACATTCCAGGAAATGTTTGTTTCTGCTGAAATGTAAAGAGACTCCTACCTTGGCAAAACATAGCACCAGTTACTTAATATGGAATGTTGGTGAATAACTGTATTTTCATTGCTGTCAAACAGCTTTAAGGTGTTTGCTGAAATATCAAAATCTCCCAGCTTAAAACAGAAAAAATAAGTTAGTTGCAAATAATTCTACAGCAGTATGAAATTAAAATTTTCCAAAATAATTGTGTATCACAATACACTGAAGCTTATACATTATTATTCCTTTATCAGCTCTCACAGACTGATCATTTCAGAAGATATTCCCATTATCAAATTGCACACTATCTTATATTACAGCCTACACTTCCAAGAGTTATGTCAGTACAAGGTTTAAAGGTTATTTAAATCAGTGAGATTTAAACTTTATTTGAAGTGTTTTAATAAGTAAGAGTACAGAAGGAATTTTATCAAACTAAGAACTGTCTCACTTCCATGCACATTTTTTAAAGTTCACATCAGAAACCCATGTTTGACAGCCCAGTAACTGTGTATGCCACTTTGCCTTATCAAGTGCAAAGATCCAAGCAACAGAATTAATGGGACATATAGTTTCACCCTGTGAGAAGTCAAAAAACACCACGCATTTTCACAATATGAAAATATTTGACTGTAGAGGCCAATCAATCAAACACTGAGATTTGAGAAACTTTTTCTCTCTCTGTGATCTACCAGGGTTTGCATTTATTCACTGACAAGAAAATCTGGCCATTTCTGTTTTAGAATAGTATTAAAATGATCAAACTGATAATGAAGCCACATCATGATTGCTTCCATCATTGCTTTGTGTAATTCTGGAACTGGATTCCTACAGATAGCATTAATGTTTATGCTGTCCAACTAGGTCACAGAAGAAATCCTATTCTTCTATTCTAAGAAAGAAGAGTTTGGATCAGAAATACTTATTTTGGAAGAAACCAGCAAGCCTGACAAATATGCCCCTGTATGTATGGACATATTCAACAAAGGTGACATGGCTGCCACAAAGGATGGTAATTTTTCAACCTCAACCATGATTTCTTAAACAATTTATTAATTATGCTTATAAGCAGCATAGTCCAGGCTGCTCCAGTATTTTGGAAGCTGCATAGAAAAGGAAGCAGATTCCAGAATAATTATATAAAGGAACTTTAAATATAGTGCCGACAACTTACCTGTAGCTTTGCTTTTAAGATGTTACTCAAAACTGTCTATGTGTTACAGTGAGATAGTGAATGCCTTTTCTAGAAAACACTGCTAGAAGGAAATCTAGAATCATGAACACGCTTCACTACTATATTCTGCTAGCATTTTTTGAAAGGTCTCTTAGTTAGACTAGAATCTCAATTTTACAATGCTTGCTAGAATGCATCAATATAGATATTATATGGATCTTATGCACTTAAAACAGATGCAGATATTCAATGAATATGATTACTGTCATAATGCAATCAGAAATAAGCACTTCTAGCCCCATCATGCTAATTGCAAGTCACCTAACAGAAAAGAAGATAAAGATTAATAAGACAAAAATAGAAAATATACCTCAGGGGGTGGCAACCGAATTGAGCAAGGCTCCACACTGATGCAAAGCTGTCTCTCTGATACATTGAGGTCTATAACTAAAATAAAACCAAAGCGCAAAGCCCTGTTTTGAACTACAGTTCATCTGTTGGACGGAAAGCTAAACCAAATGTTTATTTAAAGTAATTGTTAGTCAAAATGCTGCATTTGAAAATCAAAAGGCTAGACTTCCTCAGCATGGAAATTAAAAATAAGTGCATTTTAACTGTGAAAAATTAAAATAATAATGAATTACCATCCATACAGTACACCTCTGTAGGAACTTATGGCTGTCCATGCAACTGGATGCTTGATACTCACATCCTTGATACACAAACAGCCATTTTCAAAGCCAATGTAGTTCTTACAAACATTGGCTGTATTGAGTCATCTAGCCCAGTATTATACATCCAGAAGTGGTCAATAGGAAAGACTATATGAGCAAGGCAAGCATTTACTGACACATCTCCAGAACATTCACCCAGCCCTGAGCAAGCTGTAGCATAGGGACTAAATGTATTACATTCCTCAACATATGTCCCTGTTACAAATTTAGGCTCCAACATCCCCCAAAGTAATCTTTGATTTTTATAGTGGAATAAAAATACTACTTTGTAATTTTTGTAACAGCTAAGCAGCATGCTTTGTGACTTTTGTGAACAGCAAAGGTAGTACATACAGGACAGTCACTTTAGCTCATTTCCTATCTGTTTTTATGGAACTTTCACATCACTTGCAAGACACATAATTTGAGGCAAGTGCATTTAATTGTAATAATCATAACTTTTAAAAGGTAAATTTCAATCTATGGCTGTAGATTAACAGTAGGAAAATTACTTTTTTTGTGGGTAAATTTTCAAAGGTGTAGTTGAGCTGACAACTATTACATACAGAGCATCATCTGCCATCAAGTGTATTTTGACAGATGTTATTTCAGAATTAAATACAAAAAGACATTGTGTTGGTAATACCAAGATCATGCCAGTATGAAAGTACATAACTATACCTTGCTCTCACAAGTTTACCATTAACAAAACACTGTACTTACCAACAGCATTTTGCCTTCCTGAATGAGACAAAAAATCTTTACCTTAATAAATGAAATAGATAGACATTATTTTCTAAACGATATGTCAAATGTCTTAATGCAATAAAAAAAAAAAGGAGAAATCACACAGTTTTGTTTGTGTGTGCTATGAACGCTGAAAGGTTTGTTCCTTTTAAGGAGAGAAAACCCCCTCTATCAATTAACTTTTCACTGATTTATTAACCTCTTATAAAAAAAAGAAAGATATATGAAAGTATATTAGTGGACAGCAATTTATACATCATTTTTTCCTTCCAGTAAGGAATTTATACATTGAGCTATTTTTAATTGACTAACTGTTAATAAATTTCTCAGGTTCAAAAGCAAATCTGTATAGTACTACTACATATTTTACCATATATCATCAGTTTTGCCCAGCTTTAGCAACATATATGATTAGACAAGCTGCATGTAGCAGGGTCACATTGCTGTTAGTCAATGTCTTTCATTTAAATCAGTTTTATACCAGCTACCATCTAACCCTCTACTTCTAGGTGCTATTCCTGAATAAGTTGATTTCATTCAGAGCGCTATATATTTTGAAGATACCGAAACAGGATACTGTTAATATTGTGGCTGGAAATAAGACAATAACATAAACACTTTTCTCAATGTATATTTGGAATGATCTATACAATTGCTGTACTTAATAAGAGCACACCACAGTATCTGAAACACATCTGTTTTTCCACACTTTGGTAATTCACATTTATCCTACACAGGAGTTAGTAGAGAGATGTCAGGCAGAGGAAGTACCATCTGAAAAGGCAGAGCTTGGTAGAAGGAGATGGTCTGACAGAAAAACACTTCTATATAAGAAGAGCATGCAAACTATGTGCAGAAGTGCCACTGATAAAAGCATGAATCTGAAAAACAGGCCCAACTTTTAGAAGACATTTACTGTCCAACAATATTTGGTTTGGAAATTATTAATCTGGTATGTTGCGTTCAGTTGAAATAATTATTTCAAAGATGAGAAAGAAGATGAAAAAGTGAATGATATGTCCATTCAGATTGTTAACTTGAATCATTGAACTTGGATAAAGGAACAATAAAAATGCAGTCAAAGAAAAAAATCATAGGATAAATGAATGAAATAATTTAATATAATGAACTAAATAGTGGTGGAAATGAAATAATGATGGAAATTAAATTATGGAAAATAAATACAACAATAAAGAGCTGAAAACTAAATGCTTGATCTCTGACCCAGGTGAGTCAAATACCTTGCACCAAGAGATGACCAGCCTTGTTCCATCTGGGTGCAAGTCTGGCTGTAAGCGTGTAGGAGAGACAGGTTTGGAGAATGGCTGGACTAACTGTTTGTGGTGCTTCCAGCTAATAACATCAGTGAGAAAAGAAAAATACATTAATAATTTAACAGATTTTTTTTTAAAGGCTTCAGTCAAAATTTAATCAAAGATACTGCTACTGCATCTTGGAGCCAAATCCTAGTATATGTTACACATCTTTACTTTTCATCTACTTAGCTACAAGATAAAGTTAGCACAATATTTGATGTAGGCATTTAGATTTCATGCGTCATAAAAGTAAGGTGCACTGCAATTCATGTAATGTTTTCACTGATAATAGACTTGGGGAAAAGACTAATTGGACTATATGGAGTACTTTACTAGATAGCCATCTCTTTCCAGACAATAGGCACAACATCCAAAATTTACATGTATTAACTCTGCTGTCAAACTCAAGACCAGAGACATTTTCTTGCAATCACAAGAACAATAGATAAACATAATTTTGTTCACCTAGCAGTACGACTTGCTTTACGGCTTGCTTGTCCTGCACAGCTTTCTGTTGACAGCATTGGTCAAGAAAAATAAACTAACTACAACAGGTTAAAAAGAGTTAACTAACACACATCCAGGAGGATGTTTCCAATGAGATCCTGCAAGGATCTGCTTGCAGCTCATGGTTATTAAATATACTTCATACTACTAATCTGCTGGTCTTAGAAAATTGAACAATGACAGGTCAGTTACATGTATCAACATAAAGCAGTTTTGTAAGGAAAGCATATTTGAACAGTATGTGTCTTACTAATCCAGATATACACTTACACTTCTTGAAACAAAGAAAAATACACCCAACTGGCTGTGCATATGAATCATGAGAGCTACTGGCTTTGACTACAATCAGTTTTTTGATGCAGCAATTTTAGTGCATCCACACATACATTCATAAACCCCGCAAACATTGCATACCAGAAGATAGCAAATCATATGCATAACGGTCTAAAAATATATCAGCTGTTAAGCTCATGAGTTCCATTTCTTCTCTATGTTTTTGTTTTGCTTCTCTGAGACTGTCCTATACAGGCTGGATAAACCCCAAACGTGAATGGGGAGACAGTTCAGCTGTCTGAACACCCCCACCTGTGGAACCTACAGAGCACATGCAGACGGAGTGACACCAGCAGGAGACCTGCAGATCTTTGGCCCGAAGGGCATGTCTGTCAAGGTCAAACCCCAACGACCCTGAGCAGGATCAGGATCCCACTGCAGCAGAGAAATGTAGTGAAATAGCTTAGGAACTTCTTAAAACTTTTGACTCTGACAAAGTATACTTACCATTCCCAGGTTCATAAAAGACATGTTGTCTATGGGACAGACTTTTTTGCCCTGACACTTGGCTTCTGTAGTGCAAATTGTATGCTCTACAAAAAATACTCATTTCTGGCAACAGCAATTGCAGAGAAGTGTAACAATCTTAAGAACTGTGACATCTTTCAGCACTTACAGTAGCTCCTTGTTTCTCTATGTAGGCTTGGCATATGCCTGATTTGTAAAATGGTATCTAAAAATAAATTAAAAAAAAATAAATTAAGTGTCTGAAATTAAGGGGTGTTTCAGGAAATGATAAATTAAATTCTGGTCCATCCGTGACTTCGTCAAAGAAAAACAGGCTAAGGAATAGTTAAAGCAAACACCATATCCTGTATTTTAAAGGATAATGATAACCAAAATTAGTTCAGGCATTTGCCATAGCATAATCTCATTTCCAGTGAAAGATACATTAACAAGCAAGCAAACAACTGCCCACAACAACATTGCAGAACTCTGCCCCTGCTGCTCTCATCGTGAATTGGGTGGCATCTTACCAACTGAGTCCATTCTGTTCCTCAAAGGGTTCACCATCTGAAAAGGCCATTTTATCAAAAGAGTTGAAGACATAAGCTGCCATCTACATTACTAATGCACAAAAATAAAAGTTTGCTTTAAATGACATAATCCTTGATCATCAAAGAAAACGCTTCTTAGAGAAACATGCATGTACGTGTGATGGATACACTTGACTCCTAGCTGTACTTTGGTTCAGGCTGACCAAGAAGCAATGGGCCTCAAGTCCTTGGGGCGAATTTGTGAGCTGGAAAGCCCCTGGCTCATGTACAAGGGAGTGGAGGTGTCTTGAGGAATATTTCAAAAGGTGGTTTCAAAACCCTAAAGTACAAGATAAACAAAGTACAGAATAAGATATAAGAGCTAAACTGAAGACATCTGTCTTGTCTATACTACTGACTAGCAGCCAACTACTTCACCCTATAAATATTAAAATCAAGATGGGCCCAGTTTGAGCTCTCCCTGATAGGCAGCTGGCCTGCATGTCAGGTGACTCTCCCCTTAGGCAGGGATGCCTCTCAAGGTTAGAGATTCTTTACCTAAGAGATCCTTCCTGACTCAAGGCAGAAAGATCCCTTATCCATGACAAATCCTCGGTAAGTGACTGATAGCATGCTATGAAGCACTACTAATCCATGTAGCTACTCAGATATTATAAACATTGTATGGATAATTCCATTAGACATGAACTGTTGATCAAGTCTGAGACCAACATTGGATCCAGCCACACCTAGGCTCCAAAAAGGAGTTTAGAAAGCAAGGGGGTCCACTCTGAACCTCATGATTCAATGGGAGGTTCCTCTTTACTCTTCACACCTCTGATCTCTGTATGAGTCATGCTAACTCAGTTTTCCTTTGTGTGTTTGTTCCATGCAGTAATTAATAAGATGAACCTTGTCATCAAACTTACTGAACCTTGTCAAACCACTGTAAAACTTTGTTAAATTCCATCAAACTTACTGAACTCTGTCAAATTATTATTTTACCTCAGTAAAACATATTGCTGCTTCTCTCTTTTGAGTGAGATGCATTCCGCTCATCCTAATAGTATGTAACTACATATACTTATTTACACACTGATACTGACCGCCATTACAACTGAAAGTTGATTTAGTGTTCCAATAACAGGTGCAGAAAGGATGTCTTGATGCAGGAATAATAACTGTCTATTAAAAAAAAAAAAAAAGAAAAAAGTTCCAAAATAATTTTCCATACTTGATTTTCTCAGCTTAAATTTATTTTTCTCACCTTCTGCAAACATAATACATTCCACTTTTAATTGGTTTCCAGTGGTTCAGTATAATATATTGGACTAGTCCAAGTTACTTGCTCTTAACCCACCCACAGTGGTCTAAGACAAAGACGACAAAGACTACAGGCCTTTGACACATGAACAGAACTCTCCAAAAGCATTTATTTTGCCAGAATTTCTCATTTCTTTGCTTTCCTATTAAAGGGAATGACATAACACTTGGTGAACACTAAGGAGCATACATATGCTTTCCGAGTATTCTTTTCACTCAGTCTCAACCTACATAAAGCAATACAATAACTCAAAAGATGTTCCTAAAGCATTCCAACTTTGCATGTGAACACAGATTAATTTTAACTATATATTAACTTGAAGTAGGTGGCCTTGTTAGTTTTAACCGATGACATTTAAAACATAATAGAAATGTGTTTTTTTCCCCAATAGCCAGCAAGTCCCCCATGGAAAAAAACATAAAATTTTGAACAATTTTATACTGTTTGCTGCTGGTAAGAATGTTGCTGATTTTATTACGGTTAACTCCAGTACTGCTAATAAAATCTTTCAATAACAACCACAAACAGCTTCTGAAAATAATAACCCTCAAAACTCTTTACCTGCAAATCTTTAGCTGTGTATTCCTTGTCTCAGTTTCCGGTATCTGAGAACTCAGTGTTACTGTAGTGGCACAGAGTTTTTGTAGCTCCGGCAGACTGACGAAGAACAGAGACTGGGGCCTGGTGTCATTCATGTTATATTTTTGATTGCCTCAAAGCAGCACTTGGGTCTTGAAAGAAAAATTTTAATTCAATTTTATAAGGCAGGTATTTGTTTCCAGAACTTTAGAAGTATATGGTATCGGGTAAATGAATAATCAATTACTTTCTGATTAAGGTTAGGTAGGCAATATAACATGATTTGGTCAACTAAACCAGACAGCTCAATATACTTTTGCTATAAATAATGCATTATACTTGAAAAAATAATTATTTACAAGAGTTAAAATATTCAGAGTAAAGACAATGACAAAACCATCCTTTCCACCTTCTTCTCAGTCTAGGTTGGAGCTGGAATATACCTGGGATCCAGGAGCTGAGGAATCCCTCTGTAATATTGGTCCCCTCCTGCCTGGCGAGAAAGTTTAATTCCCAGGAGCTCAACAGCGATCTCCTCACTAAGTCATACAAAGACCGTGGCTGGCCTGCCGGAGAGCATGAAAACCACAGAAACACAGAGGGATGTTGGAAATCTTTTCCTTTTTCCCCACAGGAGGCTCCTTTCCAAGTGGTACAGAGAACGTGTGTGCTCCCTGCTGAAATCCACCTCTCTTCTCAAGTGACAGGTGAACACTGTATTCTAACCTATGCAGAACTGAGTACAGTCTTACACCAGGCTGAAAGCCATACTAATCCAGAATCACATTCAGGTATATGATTAATAATGAACACATACAATGTGTTCTCCCATTCTTGCTCTCAGAGGAGAAATGTATGAAGAACAGCATTTTGCCTTGGTGGGAATTTTTAATAAGTACACTCCTAAATATTTATCAAAAGATGAAGAAAACATACCTGGTATTTGGAGTGGAATGTGATTAGACATATAGTGGTTCTACCAAAGCTGTCTCTCACATCTAAGCTTTGCCTTATAATAGAAATTATTGACTATATGTTGTGTTCAAGAGTATGAGGCAGTTTTGGGCTCAGGCCACAATCATTATCTTGAAGTGCACATGACCTGATATTTCACACAAAGTCAGAATACAGAGTACATGTATGTTCACTGCCACACCACTGAGTAGATGTGCTGCAACACCATCATTTTTGGAACTTCCTAAAAAGCACCAGAAAGAAGAACCGAAAAAACCAGAATTTCAGACTGAGAATGTGATCCTTTGATGCAGTATTAACAAAATCCATGTGAGCGGGAGTAATATGAAGTCATGGCTGTTACCTGGCCTGTTGTATGCCTGTTGTATGCTCCTATGTGTTGCAGCACAGGCCAGGCTCAGTGTAAAGGAACTAGAATATTTATGACGAAAAAGAACATCTAACATTTCATTATTTAAAGAAAATACACCTTTTAACTATAGCACCTTTCTCAAACAAAGTGTTTCAAAGAAAAACAGGCAGGTAGAAAGTCTGTTTGTTACAAAAAGCCAGGAGCAAACACTGCACACCAGAAAAAGCTGTTTTAATAGTTCTCCCCCCTCCAAACCCTAAAACCCTTTTGGGAAATGGTCTTACCAGCACAGTGAAGATAGTGATAAGTATTTTGTTTCCAAATTTTATGAAGTCACCAGGTATTCACCTGAAAAGCAATTTTGCAAATCGTGATCAAAAAATTATGAACTGGCGATATTTTTTTGAGGAACAATGTCAAAGATAACTTTGCTGTTCTGATTTTGCTTTGCCTTGCTTACAGTGTAACACATTCAAAAGATTAACCTCAGTCATATCCTAGAAAAATCATAAGGTCAGTGTTTTATAACTGTAATTTAAAAGAAAATAACATGTTTCTTTGTTTCTTACCCTTAAAGGAAAACACATTTCAAGTTTTTTCTAGCAATCATTAAAAGTATTTTTTTTAAAAATACCAGCCAAGACTATCACTTCATTATAGAATTCCAAAAGCTACAGCTTAAGGGAAAGAACTATTTTAAACAAATGAGAAAAAAATCTTGTCCCTTTGCAAACACAGAAAAGAAAGGCCGGGTCCCCAGCTTTCATGTTTAATGTTTAAAAGAATCCTAACCGGCCAACTGGGGATTTTTGTGGCAAAGATGTTGTCAAACACATGCTGCAACGCTCCAGTGATCCACTTGCTGTTTGAGGCCAATACCCCTGTGGGAACCACTGGCTGTATTCAGTGTAAGTTAAATCTTCCCAGTCATCTTAAAAGCTAATGGGACAGAGTGCTTGCTAATGGCTTCTCCCTTCAGGGGAGAGCATAAAGAGAGAAGTACCAGTTAACATAGAACTACCAGTTATAAATCATAGGAAATAAACCCAACTGCCTTCTGTACAAGTAGGAGAACTGAATGCGTGTGGGAGAAGTTACATCTTTAAATGCCGATAATCACAACACATGAACTTGAAACCACCACAGAGCTCCTGCTAAGCTGAACAGGACATCAGTTGGAGAATGGCTATCGCTGGTTTTCTGTCAAAACAGACAGGTAAATCACAGAGCTTGGTGGTGCTATTTGTTGTTTTCAGTAATGACCTGGAAGATGGAGTGAAGAGCCTCCTTATTAAAGCTGAGAACACCACCAAGCTGTGAGGGACGGTAGCCACTCTTCCCGTTAGGATGACTGTAATGAACTAGAGACGGGATCTAAAGATCGTGGTGGCATTCAGCGAGGAAGTATGAAGCTGTCCTGCACACAGATAACCAACAGCACATGCACAGGGTACAAAACAACTACCTGAACACCAGCTTTGAGGACAGGTGCCTCGACAGGTCACACTAGGTAAATTTTATGTCACTGAAGTTATGCTGTAAACAAACCCCACAAAAAAACCCATCTTCTAATCACGCCAGTGTACATGGGGCTGTTGCTGCTGAGGCACCCAAGCAGCGTACAGGTGTGACCCAGCGCCAGTAATGATGGGGACAGGGGGACCCATTCTGGCCAGCCCAACAAGCAAAGCAAGCCATCAAACCCATCTCAGGCCAGAGTGAAGGAACCGGAGTTTAGCTTCAACACCACTGAGGAAAACCAGGGCTGCGGGTGGGTGAAAGGGCGTCACCAAGAGAAGGGGAAGGCGCCGCTCCCCGTGCCCTCAGCCCACCAGGCAAGGCAGGGGGGATGTCACAGGGAACCCTCGCCTCAAGCCCCGCGGGAGAGCTCTCCCCAGGCAGGGCTCCTACCCCAGCCGGCAGGATGTGAGGAGCCGTCCCGCAGCACCTCTGACAGGGACGCTCCTCCAGCCGCCTCCCTTCACGGCCTGCGCGGGGCGACGAGGCAGCCGCGCGCCTCCCGCCTTCGGCGCGAGCAACCGCCGCGCGCGC